CTGTTTCCGCAACCAGCATCTCACAGTTCTCTCAACGTCTTCATCAGAAGCATAATGATGTCCCCACAGATCTTCTTTCATTATCGGGAACAGATGGAAGTCAGACGGTGCTAAATCTGGACTGTATGGAGGATGTCGTATGGTGGTGAGATCCAGTCTCTGAAGTTTCAAGTCTGTGCGCTTTCATTTCAGGTGTCAGCATCCTGGGTACCCATTGTGCACAGATCTTCCAGTAGACAAGCAAAGTAATAATGTGACCCACACGTTCTTGTGAAATGCCAATTATGCTTGAAATTTCTCTCTGAGTGATACGATGATTGTCCTGAATCAATCTGTCAACCTTTTGCTTGTGAAACTCGGTGGTTGCTGTCACAGGACATCCAACTCTTTGTTTGTCAGGCAAGTCAGATGTTCCCACCTCAACATCTTTAAACTTACTCACCCAACGACGCACAATACTCACATCAACACAATCACCATAAACAGCTTGCATTCTCTGATGAATCTCCTTTGGGGTGACACCTTCTGCTGTCAAGAATTCAATGACTGCACATTGCTTAAGTCGCATTGACCGACCATCTGTGCAGGGTTCCATACTTTGCACTTTAACAACACAACCATTCAATGCTAAGGCTTCCTGCCAAAATGGAATTGTAGAGGAGAGTCTACTGAACAAGCCTGTATCTGCCACATACCAGTACTGCCATCTGTTGAGGAGTTACAAAGATGGAGGCATTACTTTTCATTCAACCCTCGTGTTTATTTTACAATGTAGGTGCACCCTATGTATGAAGCTTTGTTAAAAAGAAGGATATTAATTATTGCAACAGTTACAGGACAGATTCATATATGCTCGAGAAAGGTTCTGAAATGTTTTATATTCAAATCAGAGATTGAAATAAAGAAATATTTTGGTTCCCTAGCCAAGTATAGTTTTTTCTACCAGTGGATCAATGCCTATGTTTTGTCTCCACCCAAATCTAGAGGATGATAAATGTAAAATAATAGCTTGCTTTTTGGATATAGAAAGCAGATTACAATAGAATGTCAGGATTTATTTGTCGTGTCAGGGCAACCAGTCAATTATATTACATTTCTAACAGAACAAAGCAAACAAACAGGCAAAATACAAATTTTGTGAGTTTGGTAGTTGATTAAATGTCCTTTGACCAGTATCTGGCCACTTGGAGTGCCTCTGGTGTTGCCGCAAGAAGGTCCTCCATTGTGCATGTGGCAGGGCTCAGGTTGCATTGCAGCAGGTGGTCAGTGGTTTGCTCTCCACACTCGCATGTCGTGGATTCCACTTTGTGGCCCCATTTCTTGAGGTTGGCTCTGCATCTCGTGGTGCCAGAGCGCAGTCTGTTCAGTGCCTTCCAAGTTCGCCCAGTCCTCTGTGTGCCCAGGGGGGAGTCTCTCATTTGGTATCAGCCATTGGTTGAGGTTCTGGGTTTGAGCCTGCCACTTTTGGACTCTCGCTTGCTGAGGTGTTCCAGTGAGTGTCTCCATAGATCTTAGAAAACTATTTCTAGATTTAAGTCATTGACGTGCTGGCTGATACCCAAACAGGGGATGAGCTGGAGATGTCTCTGCCTTGGTCCTTTCATTACTGGCTGCTACTTCCCGGATGTCAGGTGGTGCAATACCGGCTAAGCAGTGTAATTTCTCCACTGGTGTAGGGTGCAGACACTCCGTGATAATGTGGTATGTCAGGAGAGCAGGGTATATTGCTAATCTTTCCTCTAAACCTCAGCACTTTCTTCCCCCTGCCTCAACTGTTGCCCCATACTTACTACTCACCAACCCGTCCGTTTCAACCATCTCCGCTCAATATTCTGGATTGATTCCTCTGATTTATGGAAGCAGAATCCATTGGGCTCTCTATTGATCACACATGACTTAGAGTAAAAGTTGACCCTGGTGAACTTGGGGAAAAGCTGGTATTCGGCTGATCTATAGATGACCTCTTAATTAGCACAGTGATTAAATTATGGGTACGGCTTCCAGTGATGTGGGGAACAAAGCTAACATTCTTCCCGGGGCTTCAGTGTAGGTTATTAGTCTGCCCAGAAAGTGTTTGGTGACAATTTTAATTAACGTAGAAGAATACGGAAGAGTGTCCGCCTTTCTGTCTCATCCTTGTTGAGTGCAATGTTGCTCTTTTCACCAAATTAGGATGATGACCCACTAGCAAGGCCTACTTTGCCCATTCCAGAACACAGTTATAGAATCATAGAATCAAAGAGTTGGAAGAGACCTCATGGGCCATCCAGTCCAACCCTCTGCCAAGAAGCAGGAATATTGCATTTAAATCACCCCTGACAGATGACCATCCAGCCTCTGTTTAAAAGCTTCCAAAGAAGGAGCCTCCACCACACTCCGGGGCAGAGAGTTCCACTGCTGAACGGTTCTCACAGTCAGGAAGTTCTTCCTCATGTTCTCCCAGAAGTTATTAATGCCTATTACCAACCTGCTCAATCATTAAGATCTTCCAAATATGTGATAGGATATTTTTGTATCTTCTCAGCCAAAATAAACAATGAAGTTGAATACTTACATTACCCTGAATTTGATGCAGATGACTCAAATCAATTGTGCCTTGAATATTACTACTGCCCATGTCCATTTTCTCTTCCATGGATGCTATGTATGTTCCTTGGAAGCTTGTTTAGACCAAGTTAATGGCTTTTTTTACTTCCTCCACATGAATAGGAGTTCACTTTTTGAATAATATGAATTATATGTCGGGGAGTGGGAAGCAGGAGTGTAGAGATGCCTAGGTGGGGCATGGCCAAACAAAGGTTGGGAACCACTGCTCCATATCCTATGAAGAAGTCATGAAGGACTGGATGAATAATCTAGAAAGGAAGAGTTTGTGTGGTTGCAGTCCTAACTGTTCATCATCACCACCACAATAACCTTTATCATCATCATTATTAGCATTAGTTGCCATTATTCTATATGAGATACTTGGGTAAATACTAAGTATATGGGCCTGCGCGATCAATGCAAAAACATGTTTCAATACTCATTACTAAATTAGTGGGTGGCAAATCATTTCTGAAGTCAAAGGCTTTCATGGCCAGAATCATTGGGTTGTTGTAGGTTTTTTCGGGCTATATGGACATGTTCTAGAGGCATCTCTCCTGACGTTTCACCTGCATCTATGGCAAGCATCCTCAGAGGTGTGAGGTCTGTTGGAACTAGAAAATGGGTTTATATATCTGTGTGATGTATCGGCGAATAATGTGTGCAGATCACAGTAAGGTGGCCTTCTGCAGCTGGCAGATGGTAATTTTGTCAGCACTGATTGTGTTTAATGGCAGGCCAAGGTCTTTAGGCACTGCACCCAGTGTGCCGATCACCACTGGGACCACCTTTACTGGTTTGTGCCAGAGTCTTTGCATATTTTGTCTTTAAATCCTCATATTGTGTCAGCTTTTCCAGTTGTTTCTCTTCAATCTTGCTGTCACCTGGGATTGTGACATCAACAATCCATATACGATTGTGAGGTCAGGAGTATTATGCTCCAAAATGCTGTCTGTCTGAATCCAGAAGTCCCAGAGGGGTTTGGCGTGTTCATTCTCTGTAACATTTTCCAGCTTGTGATCCCACCAGTTCTTTGTCAAAAGCAGATGGTATTTGTGGAACAAATTCCAATGAATCATCTGAGCAATGGTGTTGTGCCTCCACATGTAGTCTGTCTGTGCAATCTTCTTGTAGCAGCTGAGGATTATTATTATTATTATTATTATTATTATTATTATTATTATTATTATTATTGGAACTCTGGCTGCTGCTACAGATGGATAATAGCTCCTATCTAATTGGGGCTTTCTGATGTGACCAGAATTCTGAGAAGTGCAGTTTAGGGCAGGGCCTTTTGAGTTCTCTGTCACAGGTCCCTTGCCTTCCCAGAATTCACAGTCTCCCTCCCAGGTCACTTGTCCTTCCAATGGTGCCAGGCAACCTTAATTTAAAGAGGAATTGCCTGTTTGGCTTTGCACCACTGGAACTGTTTGCTACATGCTTGTTCTATAACCGAAACTGACTTTGGGAGAATTAAAAGGTTTATTGAACTATAACAAAAAGTCATAGGTGAGTATTTTGATTCTTGAATTTTTTGTGTGGGCACCTTTAGTGTTTCTTAACATCGCACCCTGTATGTATGAATCTTATGAAATAATACAACCAATGAGACACAAATGACTTTTTTGCACAGCCCTACGAATCTTTCCTGGCCCGACCTCATCAAAATTGAGAATCACGATTAGCCGGCAGACTGGACCACTTTCTCTCCATGCAGCTGATGCACAATAAAGTAAGTAGCAGTTGAGTCAACAATTGTGACAAAGGATCTGCAGGAGATCAGCTTGGGATAATGAGCTTTTGGGTATTGGTCTAGAATAAAGTTGGCCCTTGAGCACTGCAGCTGGAGGTCAGCTGTGACCAGTAGTGCTGTAGAATTTGAAGAGGCACAAATGGAGGGTGAAAGAGAGAAACGTGCCAAGAGGAAGGCATGTCAAGCCAACCCTGACTGGGACCGCCTTCCACCTGGAAACCAATGCCCTCACTGCGGGAGAACATGCAGGTCAAGAATAGGGTTCCACAGTCACCTACGGACCCACCGCACACTGCACATTGACCCTGGAGGACCATCCTACTCAGACAATGAGGGATTGCTTAAGTAAAGTAAGTGGTCTAGAATCAGTGAAACACAAATCCAGTTCTTCGCCCAACCAGTCGGTTTACTGAATTATCTTATGTGAGTCATTGTAACTCAGCCTAACTTGGTTCTGATGGTCATGTAGGAGTTAAAAATTCGTAAACACTGAACATGGAAAGAAAATGTGCTGTGGGCAGTAAGGTGAGATCAGGATGGCACAGAGATTCTGGAGATGTGGGCCCCCAAAGTTTTTAGAAAAATGTATACACACATGCACACATTCACACACATGTACTCGCGCCTCCTGTCCAAAGGCTCACACTGTTGGCTGACAACATTCATTTTGGATTTTTAATTAGAGACTTTTAAAAATACTTTCCATGATATCTTTGTACAACGACGGAAAATAAACAATCCTGCATTTTTGCACAACTAATGAATTTCCTTCAAAGTATAGGACAATATGGCTGACAAATACCTTATATATTTTATCCAAAATTAAAGACTAAGGAAAGAAAATAAAGAAAAAGATGTGCAGGATTGTTGGCTTCCTGTTGATGTATTTTTTTAAAGGATTTGAAAAATAAACTGGGGAGGGGGGAAATGACTCTCCATATCCCATATTTTGAAGAGGGAGGAAAAGAGTGAATGAATCAAAGAAGAAGAACAAAAACTATCCTTTCAATAGGGCAGCTTGCATTTTACAGAGGACCTCAGGTCTACAGTAGACATCACAATCTCCTAGAACTTCAGAATGTATTTGTTGAAGAACTCTACTGAACACCAACAGAAGTTCAGTGCATTTAGTATAATTTGGTGCCCAAAGTAGGAGGTGTTTGTTTCATGGAGTGTGGATTAGTCCTTCCAGCTGCTCTCCAGCTGGGCTTGCAATGGGATCCCATCGAAAGCTGTGCATATATAAGAAGACTTTTTCCCTTTCACCACGAAGGGAAGCAGCAGCTGCAATTCATGCTTTGACGGGTGCAGAGAAACAGACAAAACATACAGCTAGAAGGAGAGAATTCACATCGGGAATGGCAAATGCTTTCTTCTGAAAGCCATTAAGTTCCAAACCTTCTTGAGAAGCTTCACCAACACACGAGACTTGATTATCCTGAGAAAGGAAAAGGAGGTAATCAAATCAGTTATATTTCCATATGAACAAAACATTCAACTGAAATCTACAACAATTAGACCTCCACATGTACAGGTTTCACTTTTGCAGATTTGATTATTCATAGATTTGAGTAATATATTATCTCAATGAATCTCTAGGTCCTCCAGATGGCACTGGAAGACCTAGTGATTCCAAGAGAAAATACTTCTCTAGGCATTTGTAGGTTCTCCAGTGTGACTCTATGTCCAATTTCTGGTAGAAACAGGGCTGTTTCTGTGCTATTCTGGGGGTTGGACTTCCAGCTCTAGGATTACATGATTCTATTATTCTATTTATTTATTTACAGTATTTCTATTCTGCCCTTCTCACCCCGCAGGGGACTCAGGGCGGATTACAATGTACATATACATGGCAAATATTCAATGCCATAGACACACAACATTTATAGACAGGCACTCAGAGGCTATTTAACATTCCTGCTTTTCATGAGGGTATTCTGGCCACCAGGGGAGTTGTCCCTTCACCGTCCATTTGTGACAATGACGAAGTACTTCCTCATTTTTTGCATGCTTGCTGGAGATTTTTGTGCCCTCGTACATTAGTCAAATTAGCCTTCCTGCATAAGTGGTACCTAAATTTCCTACTTGACAAATGCAACTGTCTTTTGGTTGCAAAGGTTGACAGCAAGCTACACAAATTGGTCAGAAGCTCACTCCGACCGGGCTGGCTTCAAACTCCTGACCTTTCGGTCAGTAGTGATCTTAATGAAGCTGACTCCCAGCCAGTTGCATCACAGTCCCAGTGCAAACTCAAACTGATCTCTACTCAAACTGATCTAAGTTCAGCACCTTGGATAGCTCCCTTAACCCAAGCTTGACATGGTAGTCTGAAAAGGATGTGAATAGAACTCCAGATCTATTCTCTCCAGTGAGTAACCACTTGTTTCAAAAGAGGCTTGACATGTTGCCTCTGATGTAGCTTAGTTCATGGATGTGGACTTGCTTCTTACAGCAAAGCTTGTCATTCATCTCAGATGATCAAGCTGTGACCTTCCTGCTTTTGGTTGCTGTTGTTGTTGGGATGCAACCTTCAAAAGGCATATTATAGTTGCAACCCAGCATCTGGAAAGTCATACTTCAACAATATGTGACCTGAGATCTCTCCTGGAACACTCATTAGCTGCCCTTTGGCCCCATCTCAACACCAGAGATCCAATGGCAGAAAAGAACTGCCATATACATGCTTTGTTGTGGTTCATTCGTTCAGTCACTTCTGACTCTTCATGATCTCATGGACCAGCCCACGCCGGAGCTCCCTGTTGGCCAACACCACCCCCCAGCTCCTTTAAGGTCAAGCCAGTCACTTCAAGGATGCCATCCATCCATCTTGCCCTTGGTCGGCCCCTCTTCCTTTTTCCTTCCATTTTCCCCAGCATCATTGTCCTCTCTAAGCTTTCCTGTCTTCTCATTATGTAGCCAAAGTATTCATCTTTGCCTCTAATATCCTTCCCTCCAATGAGCAGTCAGGCTTTATTTCCTGAAGTATGGACTGGTTGGATCTTCTCAGTCCAAGGCACTCTCAGAACTTTCCTCCAACACCACAGTTCAAAAGCATCTACCTTCCTTTGCTCAGTCTTCCTTATGGTCCAGCTCTCACATCCATAGGTGACTATGGGGAATACCATGGCTTTAACTATGCGGATCTTTGTTGCCAGTGTGATATTTTTACTCTTCACTATTTTATTGAGATTGGTCATTGCTCTCCTCCCAAGAAGTAAGTGGCTGCAGTCTGCATCTGAGGTAATCTTTGCACCTAGAAATACAAAGTCTGTCACGGCCTCCACGTTTTCTCCCTCTATTTCCCAGTTATCAATCAGTCTGGTTGCCATAATCTTGGTTTTTTTTTTAATGTTTAACTGCAACCCAGCTTTTGCACTTTCTTCTTTCACCTTGGTTAGAAGGCTCCTCAGCTCCTCCTCACTTTCGGCCATCAAAGTGGTATCATCTGCATATCTAAGGTTGTTAATGTTTCTTCCAGCTATTTTTACCCTTGCATTCGTCAAGCCCTGCACATCGCATGATGTATTCTGCATATAAGTTGAATAGTTTGGGTGAGAGTATACAACCCTGCCATATGCCTTTCCCAATCTTGAACCTGTCTGTTGTTCCATGGTCAGTTCTTACTGTTGCTACTTAGTAAAGGAGAAATCAGAGCTCTGATCTTTATTTAACCTGTCCTGAAGCTGACCAAAACTTTTGAAATCTAGTGATCTTTCTGAACAGTTTCCAAAAACAAGTAGATCATGCTAAAACAGTCCAAGTACAATGTAACGAAAGCATTGGTTTTGGTGGGTTTTCTTTTTTGAGACTAATGTTCCATTGTAGACCAATGCATGCAAGAAAGTCAAACTATGTCTTTGAAGAACATAGCACTCAAAAGGGGACCATTTATGAGATTCAGGCCTTGTTTAATAGCTGAGGACACTGGGCCTCCTCAGATATTTTTGGACTTCAATTCTCATCAACCAACATGGGATAGGATCCCAAAGGGGACGTTATGAATTGGAGAGATCTCCTACATATTTTCAGGGACTCACCTTTCTCACCTCTTCAACACTGGTCTGAAAGCTGTCCTCAATTTCTGCTGACTGAGACAAACTTCATTGAGATGATCTTGAGCAGCCCTCATCCCTCTCCCAAACCCTGTTTCAACAAACAAAACAAAACAAAAAAATGCTTTAAACAATTATGTTTAGTCAACATAAATCCCTTTTTCCCCTCCAGACCTCCCAGCATTTGATAGGGAAAAAATGCAACAATCATTATGAAAATAGTGTCTCTTTCACTGAGGCTGTGAAACCACACTGGAAGTTGGTCTGAACTTTATAGTGGTTTGAATGCTGGAGCTGGAGGACCAGATTTTGAATCCCTCTTAATCCATAGAAAGTCATTGAGTGACTTTCTTTTACCCTTAAAGGAGGGCAATGGCACTTATTGTCCAGTTCCCATCACCCTCAACTACCATTGTGCTTGACACTCCAGCTGAATATTGAGTTTGGAGATTGTCCGTTGGAGGGATAGGGAATTCCAAGTGATACCACATTTTCAGAGCCCTATTATTAGTCAACAACAAAGTACAAAATCAGGGTAAGAGCCAGCCAAAACCCAGCCTTTAAATAACCAGTTGTTTTTAGTGGAAGAGGTACTTGTGCTACCTATCAACAGAAGTTGTGAGCCATGTTAGAAGCAAAAAGGCATCAACACTTGTAGAAAATGATGAGTGACAGGGAATTCTTGAGAGCATGACTTGCCCTTTCTTTTCCGTTCTCCATTTCCTTCTTTGATCTATGTACTCAAGCTTTCCTGCTTCCTTGCTGCCTGCAGATGTCATTTCCCCCTTCTTCCAAATGTAGATTAGTCCTTTGCCTCCTTTAGTTTCGGAAGGAAACATCCATGAGACTACTGCCTCAGAATGGATTACATGACAGACAGCTTTTAGGCACTTTTCTACTGAAATTTAGACCATCTGCCTTAGTCTATTTTTTTTACTATCCAAAGATTCATTTCTTGAAACAATAATTCTTTAAATATTCTTTCTATGCCTACTCAGGATGTTTTTCATAGAATCACAGAGTTGGAAGAGATCTCACGGCCCATCCAGTCCAACCCCCTGCCAGAAAGCAGGAAAACTGCATTTAAAACACCCTCGACAGATGGCCATACAGCCTCTGTTTAAAAGCTTCCAAAGAAGGAGCCTCTACCACACTCTGGGCCAGAGAGTTCCACTGTTGAACAGCTCTCACAGTCAGGAAGTTCTTCCTCATGTTCAGTTGGAATCTCCTTTCTTGTAGTTTGAAGCCATTGTTCTGTGTCCTAATCTCCAAGGCAGCAGAAAACAAGCTTGCTCCCTCCTCCCTTTGACTTCCTCTCACATATTTATACATGGCTATCATGTCTCCTCTCAGCCTTCTTTTCTTCAGGCTAAACATGCCCAGCTCTTGAAGCCGCTCCTCATAGGGCTTGTTCTCCAGACCCTTGATCATTTTAGTCGCCCTCCTCTGGACACATTTCAGCTTGTCAATATCTCTCTTCAATTGTGGTGCCCAGAATTGGACACAATATTCTAGGTTTGGTCTAACCAAGGCAGAATAGAGGGATAGCATGACTTCCCTAGATCTAGACACTATTGATGCAGGTCAAATGATGTTTTGTTATTCAATGATGTTTTGTTGTTTGGATGCCCAACATTTTTCAGCCTGTTCGTCTTTTGAGGCCTTTGTCAATAGAACCAATAAAATTGAAGAAGAATGGTAATATAGCTAATAGAATGCCTCTTTAATAATTTCTATATTCCCCAATGCAACTCCATGGTCAACATCCAGCAGAGTCATACTGGAAGACCAAAAGACTCCCAGAGAGAACATATTGGTCAGATCCACAAAAGAGAAACCCACAATGTGGAGGGCTGACTGTAAAAGGCATTTTATCTTTCACAAAAGTAAATCTCATTTTCCCCTTTGTGCAAAATACACATTCCCTAAACCTTGACACATATTTTAATGCCATAACAGAAGAAATGATAATTGTTAAAACTGGTAAGGTATTTCTGGAGGTTTATCACAGCTGGTAAATCATCAGCAACTATAAGATCTATCAACCAAAAGGTTGCAAGTTTGAAGCCCCGGCTCGGCATGAGCAGGCGACCGTCAGCCCTGCTCACTGTTTACCTAAGCAGTTCGAAATCACCTTTAATTGCAATTAGAGAAATTAGTTACCGTTAAAGCAGGGGAGGTGTTTTACAATGCCATAAAGAAAAAAAAGAAGATTAGAAAATGCTGGAATGAGGAAGTCCTGACAGCTCTTTGTCATAGAGGATGGAGTGACAGTGCTCCCTGTGGATGCAAGCCCAACTGTCCATGGCATCGAAACAACACCTCCTTCTTTTCTGTCTGTGTACTGTCTATACAAATGGCATTGAATGTTTGCCATGTATGTGTTCTTGTGATCTGCCCTGAGTCCCCTTCGGGGTGAGAAGGCCGGAATATAAATAAAGTGCTGTTGTTGTTGTTGTTGTTGCTGCTGTTGTATTTCCTTTAAAGTTTATCTTAGCTCAGGGCAGTGATTATTTTGATCTATGGCCCTCATCTCTTCCTCAAAAACTGGAATTATAACACAATCTCACACAAGATTAATCAGCACTATCCAGTGTGACTTGTTCCCTAGATATTGTATTTTGCCCTGTTGGGTCTCAATACCACATTTGGAGCTGGAACAAATTCAGACAAAGTGAAGACCACAAACATTCTTACTTTAAACTTCCACCTTCCCCCTTCAATGCAACTCTATAGTAAACTTACTCTGGAATTGCACTGGAGGACCTGCAGATTCTGTGATAAGTGTTCAAAGGGATTTCAAGGATCTCCAGAACACACAAACTAAACTAGTAGACTGGATCAAAGGTGAAGCAAGAAGATCCTCCCAGGAACATGAAGGCCATACATTCTTTAGTATGTGAGAACTGATGCCTGAATATTATCTTGTGGGGTTTATATTTAATCCCCCCATTACATATATTGGCCTTTCCCTGTAACATCATCACAGCTTCTGCAAGTTCTGCCATACTGCAAATTCATCTACATCCTGAACATTATTTGAGAAATGCAGCATACCTTCTAACACAGTTTTTCTCAACTTGGGGGTTGGGACCTCTGGGGGGTCATGACAGCATGTCAGAGGGCTCACCAAAGACCAACAGAAAACAGTATTTTTCTGTTGGTCATGGAGTTCTGTGGGAAGTTTGGCCCAATTCTATTGGTGGGGTTCAGAAATGTTCTTTGATTGTAGGTGAACTATAAATCAGCAAACAACTCCCAAATGTCCAAGTGTATTTCCCCAAAAAACCACCAGTGTTCACATTTGGGCATATTGAGTATTCATGTGCCAAGTTTGGTCCAGATCCATCATTGTTTGAGTCCACAGTGCTCTCTGGATGTAGGTGAACTACAACTCCAGAACTTAAGGTCAATGTCCACCAAAACCTTCCAGTATTTTCTGTTGGTCATGGGAGTTGTGTGCCAAGTTTAGTTCAACTCAATCGTTGGTGGAGTTCAGAATGCTCTTTGATTGTAGGTGAACTATAAATCCCAACAACGACAACTCCCAAATGACAAATTCAATTCAATCCCCCCAACTCTACTAGTATTCAATTTTGGGCATATCGAGGATTTGTGCCAAATTTGGTCCAGTAAATAAAAATAACGCCTATCAGATACATTACTATTCATAACAGTAACAAGGTTGCAGTTTTGAAGTAGCAACAAAAATAATGTTATGGTTGGGTCACCACAACATGAGGTGACTCTCAACCATATGGCATTAGGAAGGTTGAGAAGCACTGTTCTAACACATCACAAATGAAAATCGGGACACATTTGGCCAAGCAACATCAAAGTGCGGTGAAGACAGTGAAATATATTGATGAGAAAGAACATGCAAACTAGGAGAGGTTTTGACACTTTCTTTTTCCATGAGCCTACTAGGAAGGGCAGAATTGCGGTATCTTGCTCTCCTTTTCTCTTTGCTTATTTAACAAACAATTTTAACACTTGGAACGCTGTGTACTTCAACTGAAGTAAGTTGAAGAGAAGAAGGAACAGTATGGAAGGAAAGATAGATACAATACATTGCCTTCTCATCCAGTTGTTTTAAAATTTTAATCCTTGCTATCGGCCTTGCCCACCGTGATTTATGTTCTTGTGTTTAATTATTGTGATTTTATATTGTTGATGTTTATTTATATTGTGTCTTGTATTTTATTTTTATATTTTTCTGCTGTTGTATGTTGTTTATTTGCATGGTTGTATTGTTGAGCTTGGCCTCATGTAAGCTGCTCCAAGTCCCCTTGGGGAGATGTTTGCGGGGTATAAATAATAATAATAATAATAATAATAATAATAATAATAATAATCTGCAACACTGCCAAAGCAGATGAAAAGTGGGATGAAAGAATCAATAAGATTGGAGGAATGGGAGATAATTTGGGACAAAAAATTGAAATATAAGGTTGCCTATGATTTAAAAGAAAATTGAATAAAAATGTTCCATAGATGGCATATGACACCACATAAATTAGGAAAATACTATAAAAATATAAACTCAAAGTGTTGGAAGTGTGGGGAAGTTGAAGGAACTTTCTACCACATGTGGTGGTCATGCAAGAAAGCTAAAAATTTCTGGAAATATATATGTGTAAGATTACAAAAATACTAAAGATTAATATACCTTTTAAACCAGAATTAATCTTATTGGGAATTACCAAACCAAAATTTGAGAGTAACGTAGATAAACTACTTTTCTTCTCCACAACTACTGCCAGACTGTGTTATGCAAGGCTATGGAGGAAAAGTGAAATACCATCAACTGATGACTGGAACAAAAAAATAATGGATATAAGGAATATGGACAGGCTAAGCTACTTGTTACAAAAATACAAAGGAAAACAGAGAAAGAGACAGATTGGACACTGATTAGTGAATATTTGAAATAGGGGGAAAAAAAGAAAAAAAGGGAAAAAATAGATGGGTAATAAATGAAATAGAAACCCTCACATATAAAAAGAAGAGAATATGGAAGAACAAGGAGTAAGAAAATAAAAAGAATTGGAAGAATTGTAAAAGAAGGAAAAGGAAGAACCCCACCTCGAAGTATCCCAGAAACTGGACCGATTTCTAGTTCTATCTATACCTTTCCCTTTTCTATCTTGTTTCTATTGTTTCAAAATCCCTTTTCTTTTCTTTTTTCTTCTTCTATTTCTCTCCATTTATCTCAATATCCTTTCTATATCTTGATTTTAAAATTTGCAAATATTTTAATCTATTGTACACTATGATAACTTCAAATAAAGATTATACAAAAAAGTGGAATGAAAGAAGATTAATTGTGGTTGACCCTGCCAAATTGGGACAGTTGGATGGTATGGATTCACTTGTAACTATTATGAAGTGGCCGGGTCACTATATTTCTTTGCCGTGGTTCTATTTTTGTTTCCATTGTTGGTGATGCTGACCAGTTATCAATTTATTCCAACACATTCTGAAGAGATCACCATTTCTACCACTTGGCTCAATCCACACCCCAGAAGGTTTCTGTGTATGGTCAGTGGGTGATGACCAGACACCATTACAAAGCGACTCTGCAATTGAATCACTCTTTGTACATAAAGAAGTTGAAGGAAACTTCTGAATCACTTGACCACCTCAAAATGATTATGTGAATCCACTTAATTGCTAAAGATCTTTCCAAATATAGTATCCTCACTCATGTTTCTGAAGTGGTTGACCCCCTTTGTATGGGAGAAAGTTTGGGAAGTGGAAAGCCAATATCTCAAAATATCTTGGTGGTGCCGGAGCTTTGTCCACCAAGTGACAAACCAAGCTCTACTTTTGGGTAGGAGATGACAAAGTAATTTTCAGAAGGTTTACTACCTTCAGCTCCTGCTGCGTATTGGCAGGTCTCCCCCAGCATGGGATATGAAGCATAGTTCAACGAGATGGACTGGAGATTGAAAGTTGAATTTTTAAAGATCTTGGCCGGCTGCACCAACTCTTCCAAGGCCTTGTCATGGATTGGCTGAGTTCTCACAAAACCTCCCACTGGCCTCCCTTCATTGTACTGTGCTCCAGCCCCAGGCAACCTTCCCCTGACCACCAAACAGTCAGGGCTTTCTGTCCTTTGGGAAGAGTTGCTGGTGGGTCCCACAATGACGTTGGCTCCTGCGGTGTGGGCTAATGACCAGATCCTGGGTTTTTCTGGTGCTTCGTAAGCTTGGACTTGACTTCCAAGGCTGCCCACTAAGGTGGCTCCTTTATGGCCCAGAAAATCTCCCGTAACCGTTGAGTCCACCTTGGCACAGGAGAAGGTGTGGAAATGGCCAGACGAAGTCAGGTTGCAGTTGCTTTTCTGAGATTCAGCCAAGGTATTACTTCCAATGAGGAGGCCTTCTTGGTGTGGGTGCTTTTGCTCAGCTTCTGCTTTGATCTCTGGATCCTCATCCTCGATGTCCTCTAGATCACTCAGTCGTAACTCCTTTTCCTCTTTGCAGCTTTTGGGATCTGTATTTCAGAATAAAATTCAGAGGGAATGGATTGAGTATAATAAACACAAAGGTATACTCCAAGCAGACCTCATGCAGGTATACATTATGTGATTAGTATGGAATAGTAGCAGTGCAACTACTATCAGTGCTACTAGTAGCAAGTAGTAATAGTAACAAGAAGTAATAGTTTTCAAAGTAGACACAGTAGCAATTAAATATGCTAACTAGGTGGAACTTCATATTCTAAATAAGTACTTCTTAACTAAACTGTTGCTTTCTTTTAGCAAGAAAGTCTTCAAAAATGACAAACTTTTTTAAAACTATTTGTAATTTGGGAGGTTTTCTGTACAAAATTCACATGTAGTTGTTTTACATAGAAAAATGACTTTCTGTACAAAACATAATATTTTCTGGAAGAAAATAATACTCCGTCCTACATAGTAATATATTTTTTCCATGAGGAAAATATAATTCCTTTGTTGAAAATGCTGCTCATTATGGAAATTACTGAGATGGAGATTTTGCACAAATTATTTCCTCAAATGCAGCATTTTCTGAATACAGCAGGAAACCTTTCTGCAAATATGAAAGAAGATGGTCTGGGGAGGATCTGCTGTCATTACCGCCTTCGTCACAAGTACGTTTGGCAGAGACGAGAGACAGGGCTTCTTGGTGGTGGCCCCTCGGCTATAGAACACCCTCCCTATAGATATTAGATCGTCCACCTCCCTTTTAACATTCCAGAAAAAAGTCAAGATGTGGCTTTTGGAACAAGCGTTTGCAAATGCAGAGTAACTGACACAGGAAAATGGAACGACTAGACAATGAGTCCGGACAACGTTTTTAAGAAGGAGACACTATGAATTTATATTTTATTGATTTGTTTAGTTTTTATTATATGTTATGTTTTTAAATATATTTATGACATTGTAAGCATTGGATTTTGCTTTGTAACCACCTTGAGTCACGTACGGGCTGAGAAAGGTGATATGCAAATAAGTAAATAAAATAAATAAATAAATAAAATAATATTTTTTGTAAAACAAATTCACCCACATACGAATTTTGCACAGAATAAGTCCTGAACTACAAACATTTGTATCAGACCAATATTGTTCTAGTTAGGGCTCCTCAACACTCCAAAAAGTTTAAATAATTCTGCTCAGTAAATAAAATAAATAAATAAATAAATAAATTGTAAAAAAAATTACCCACATACGAATTTTGCACAGAATAAGTCTTGAACTATGAACATTTGTATCTGACCAATATTGTTCTAGTTAGGGCTCTTCAACACTCCAAAACATTTTAAATAATTTTGCTAATATTTTTCCCATCTCTGTCATGTTGAGAGGTGGCCATCAGTCCTGTTGATAATTCGAAACCATTAAATCAATGGGATTTGCCTATACTTTGACTCATCATTTGACTTTTTTTTCCTCACTGCTGGGATCAGAACCAACCCAATAACATGGATCCCATTCCTTTCCACTTTTACCTTTGTCTTCAGTGTCACTGGCACAGTCTTCTCCATTCCTTCTCGCATCCTCTTGCCTCTCTTCTCCTGCTTTGTTCTTCGGAGACCAGGTCATCTTGTTCTCCTTCTTGAGGCGGCGGCGGGCATTGGCGAACCAAGTGGAGACCTGGGTCAGAGTCATCTTGGTGATGATGGCCAGCATGATCTTCTCCCCTTTGGTCGGGTAGGGGTTCTTGCGGTGTTCATACAGCCATGTCTTCAGAGTGCTGGTGGTCTCCCGAGTAGCATTTTTGCGTCTGGCCGAACTACTGAAATCGACTGTTCCATACCTGGCGGAGAACAAAATACTATATTGGAGTAACTCACTTTTCCATGCAAAATGAAGGTCTGCTCAACGTTCAGTTTTAGTATAACTTAGGAACTGGTACCAGTTCAAAAATATTTAATAAGCCAGTAAGAGTAGACCAGTCATATCCCTAACACAGTCCAACAACAACAACAACAACAACAACAAAAATTTGGTGTCTTCGTTTTTAGAACTGTTCCTGGGGTTCCTTCTTTCTTTCTTTCTTTCTTTCTTTCTTTCTTTCTTTCTTTCTTTCTCTCTTTCTCTCTTTCTTTCTCTCTTTCTTTCTTTCTTTCTTTCTTTCTTTCCAGCATTTCTACCTTGTCCTTCTCAACCCCCGAAGGAGGACTCAGGATGGCTTACATTTGGCACAGTTTGATGTCATTAAATATAACAAAGCAATTTAACAACAATTAAAACAATAAATAGAACATTCATTAAAATGGATGACGACGAATAATGATTTTTGATGACAACTGACCACTGTAATTATATGATTGTATTTTGCTATTTTAATGTTTTAGTGTGATTTAGAATATGATGTTTTAATGACTGTCTGTAATATTGATGTTGGAAACCGTCCTGAGTCCCTCGAACGGAGGTGAGAAGACCGGTATACAAAACTGCTAAATAAATAAATAAATAAATAAAACAATAAAAACAGTATTAACCGCCGTATCACCATTCCAGTCAAATTCCATATCCATATGTCCAAAAGCCTGGTCGCAGAACCATGACTTCAATTTCTTCCTAAATGACAGGAGGGATGAAGCCGATCTTACCTCGTTGGGAAGCGATTTCCATAGGCGGGGGGCTACAACCGAGAAGGCCCTGTCTCTCGTCCCTGCCAGATGTATTTGTGACGCTGGCGGGAGCGAGAGCAGGGCCTCTCCGGATGATCTTAAACTGCAAGTCGGGATGTAGTGGGAGATGCGTTCGGACAAGTAAGCTGGGCCAGAACCATATAGAGCTTTATAGGTCAAAACCAGCACTTTGAATTGAGTTCGGAAGTGGATCGGCAGCCAGTGGAGCTGACACAACAAGGAGGTGGTATGCTCCCCGTATGTCGCTCCAGTTAGTAATCTGGCCGCAGCCCGTTGGACTAGCTGGACTTTCTGAACAGTCTTCAAAGGCAGCCCCACATAGAGTGTCTAGATCTAGGGAAGTAATGCTACCCCTCTATTCTGCGTTGGTTAGACCACACCTGGAATATTGTGTCCAATTCTGGGCACCACAATTCAAGAGAGATATTGACAAGCTGGAATGTGTCCAGAGGAGGGCGACTAAAATGATCAAGGGTCTGGAGAACAAGCCCTATGAGGAGCGGCTTAAGGAGCTGGGCATGTTCAGCCTGAAGAAGAGAAGGCTGAGAGGAGATATGATAGCCATGTATAAATATGTGAGAGGAAGCCACAGGGAGGAGGGAGCAAGCTTGTTTTCTGCTTCCCTGGAGACTAGGACGCGGAACAATGGCTTCAAACTACAAGAGAGGAGATTCCATCTGAACACAAGGAAGAACTTCTTGACTGTGAGAGCCGTTCAGCAGTGGAACTCTCTGCCCGGAGTGTGGTGGAGGCTCCTTCTTTGGAAGCTTTTAAACAGAGGCTGGATGGCCATCTGTCAGGGGTGATTTGAATGCAATATTCCTGCTTCTTGGCAGGGGGTTGGACTGGATGGCCCATGAGATCTCTTCCAACTTTTTGATTCTATGATTCTATGAGTGCATTGCAGTAATCTATTTGAGATGTAACAAGAGCGTGGACCACTGTTGTCACATCAGACCTACCAAGGTACAGACTCAGCTGGCACACAAGTTTGAGTTGTGCAAAAGCTCTCCCGTCCACCACCAAAACTTGGGGTTCCAGGCTCAGCAATGAATCCAGGGTCACTCCCAAGCTGTGAACCTGTGTCTTCAGGGGGAGTGTAACCCCATCCAACACAGGCTGTCACCCTATCCCCTGTTCGGCCTTTTGACTGACCTTTTGACTGACCCTATCCCCTGTTCGGCCTTTTGACTAGGAGGCCCTCTGTCTTGTCTGGATTCAATTTCAATTTGTTAGCTTTCATCCAATCCGACACAGCGGCCAAGCACCGGTTCAAGGTCTGAACAGCCTCTTTGGAGCCTTGATTCAGAAAACCTCATCTAGCTCTAGTTTTTCTTGGATACAGTTATGTCTTTTCATGGCCAAACAGATGACAATTGGTATATGGCATATGTTCTATATCTCAACAACTAGAACCAATAGAGGAAAACTGGTGCCATTTTTGGAATCATCAGGTCAAGTATACCCAGATACAGAGCTAATATCTGAGGTACCAAAGTGTGTGAGAGATCAGCCTGAAGGCTCTCTTGGAAGACTATTTTTGAGTTAAGCCTGGGATTACCTATATCAGACATGGGATTGGGCAACTATGGGCCTTATTTTCCTCTCAGTGGCTTATTTTCCTCTCAGACCGATGGGCCTTGATTCCTGGAGCAACCTCAAATAACCCTTGGTCCCTCTCAAAATGGTGACAGGCAGTGATGCTATCTTACTTCCTGTTACCATTTTGAGAGGGAAATTCTGGTATCTGGGGATAGTTTCCACACTCTGGGGGGTATTTTCTTGCATTTTAATGGACGAGGAGGGTTTCTGAATATATTCTCGGAGGCTTTCATGACCGGAATCACTGGGTTGTTGGAGGTTTTTTTGGGGCTATATGGCCATATTCTAGAGGCATTCTCTCCTGACGTTTCACCTGCATGTATGGCAAGCATCCTCAGAGGTAGTGAGGTCACTTCCTCTGAGGATGCTTGCCACAGATGCAGGCAAAACGTCAGGAAAGAATGCCTCTAGAACATGACTATATAGCCCAAAAAGACCTACAACAACCCGGTTACTGAATAGTTTGGGAGACATAGACCATGCAAAAGTTGCATTGAGAGATAGAGATGGAGATAAAGATAGAGATATGGAGGGTGTGTTTCTTTTGGAGAGGTTGAAGGTCTTCGATGGGAGACTTCAGGGTCACAAAAATGGGATCCACAGGCTGCTTGTGGACCGCATTTTTGTGACTCTGAAGTCTCCCATCAAAGACCTTTACCCACCCCTAAAGAAACACAACTTCCATATCTCTGTCTCTCTTCCCCCCTCTGCTATATAATCTCATTCTCTACTAGGCAAAGACTTCACACTACCATAAAGTAGTGTGGTGGGAATCTAGTAGGGTCCGTCTACAAAGCAGAATGAATGCAGTTTGACATCATATGAACTGCCATGGCTCAGTGCTATGGAACCCTGAGAGTTGCAGTTTAGAAAGGCCTTTCTCCTTCTCTACACTGGGCTGGGGTCTCTGATCAAACCACAAGTCCCAAGATTCTCCATCACTGGAGCATGGCAGTTCAAGTGGTGTCAAGCTCCATTCATTCTACAGTGTATTTACACCCCTGGAGCCTCTCCCCTCCTTTGATGTTAAGCCTGGGCTCACCTGTCGTACTGGTACTGCCCAAAAGTAGGCTCGTAGGTGTAGTAGGCTGCTGCTGCAGGCTGCCCAATCCCTGGGTGCAAGGCCGAGGAGCCCTCCTTGAGATCATACTGGGAGTTCTGCACAAAGGAGGAAAGAGCTGGTCAGTTTGTCCTCTCCACATTTCAAGCTTCCTCTCTGCCTCCTTTTCCCCACCCCCAATTTGTCTCCTGGTTATGCCTACATCCAACTCTATTTCCTTTTCCCTTCCCTTCCTTTTCCTCCTTTGTCTTTCTTCTTTTCCTCCCTCAACTACACTTCAATTCTTCCATCTTTCAACCTTCCCTTCCTTCTTCTCCTTTCTTTCTTCCCTCCCTTCCTTTTCCCCCTCAACTCTAAAAACATCTTTCCTTTATTTTTCCTTCTGTTCCTCCTCCTCCTCCTTCCTTTCCCTCTTTCCTTCCTTTCCTTCTTTCCTCTTTCGTTTTCTTTCTTTTCCTTCCTTCCTTCTCTCCTTCAACTCCACCTTACAGTCTTCCCTTTCTCTTCTCCCTCCCTCCCTCCCTCTTCCCTTCCTTCCTTTCTTCCTTTCTTCCTTCCTTCCTTTCTTTCTTTCTTTCTTTCTTTCTTTCTTTCTTTCTTTCTTTCTTTCTTTCTCTTTTTCTCTCTTTCTCTCTCTCCTCCCTCCTTTCCCTTTGCTTTTTTCTTTCATTCCCTCCCTCTGTTAACACTCTTCCATCTTTTTCCTTCTTTCTTTCTTTCTTTCTTTCTTTCTCTCCTCCCTCCTTCCCTTTCCTCTTTTCTTTCTTTCCCTCCCTAGGCTTCCTCCCTCAGTTAACACTCTTCCATCTTCTTCTTTCTTTCTTTCTTTCTTTCTTTCTTTTTTCTTTTCTTTTCTTTTCTCCTTCTTTCCCTTTCCTCTTTTCTTTCCTTTCCCTCCCTCTTTCCTCCCTTCTCTTTCTCCTCTTTCTTTTCTTTCTTCCCTTTTTCTTCTTTTTCTTTCTTTCTTTCTTTCTTTCCTTCCTCCTTCCTCCTTCCTTCCTTCCTTCCTTCCTGCCTGCCTGCCTGCCTTCTTTTCTCTTCCTTTCCTTCTCTCTTTTTTCTTTCACTCCTTCCTCCCTCCCTCTTCCCTTCCTCTTTTCTTTCCTTCCCTCCTCCTTCTCTCCCTCAGTTAACACTCTTCCATCTTCTTCTTTCTTCTTTCTTTCTTTCTTTTCCTTCCTTTCTTCTTCTCTTCCTTCCTTCCTGCCTGCCTGCCTGCCTGCCTGCCTGCCTGCCTGCCTTCCTGCTTCCTTTCTTTCTTCTTTCCTTGTCTTTTTCTTTCTTTTTCTCTTATCTTTTCTTTCTTTTTCTTTCTTTCTCCTCTTTTTCTTACACTCCTTCCTCCCTCCCTCTTCTCTTTCCTCTTTTCTTTCTTTCCCTCCCTCAGCTTCCTCCCTCAGTTAACACTCTTCCATCTTCCTCTTTCTTTCTTTCTTTCTTTCTTTCTTTTTTCTTTCTTTTTCTTTCTTTCTCTTTCTTTCTTTCTTTCTTTCTTTCTTTCTTTCTCTCCTCCCTCCCTCCTTCCCTTTCCTCTTTCCTTTCTTTCCCTCCCTCAACTTCTTCCCTCCCTTAACCCTCTTCCATCTTCCTCTTTCTTTCTTTTCTCTCCTCCCTCCCCCTCCCTCATTTTTCTTCCCTTTCCTCTTTTCTTTATTTCCCTCCCTCAACTTCCTCCCTCCCTTAACACCCTTCCATCTTCCATTTTCCATTTTCTTTCTTTCCTTCTCCTCTCCCTCCCTCCCTACCTCTTTCTTTCCTTTCTTTTCCTTCCTTCCTTCTCTCCTTCAACTCCACCTCCATTCTTACAGCTTTCACTTTCTCTTCTTCCTCCCTCCCTCCTTTCCTTTTCCTCTTTTCTTTCATTCCCTCTCTCCCTCAACTTCTTCCCTCCCTTAACCCTCTTCCATCTTCCTCTTTCTTTCTTTCTCTCCTCCCTCCCTTCCCTTTCCCCTTTTCTTTCATTCCCTCCCTCAACTTCCTCCCTCCCTTTACACTCTTCCATCTTCCTCTTTCTTTCTTTCTTTCTTTCTTTCTTTCTTTCTTTCTTTCTTTCTTTCTTTCTTTCTTTCTTTCCTTTCTCCTCTCCCTCCATCCCTACCTTTTTTTCTTTTTTCTTTTCTTTTCCTAATTCAGATTCAAGACACAAAGTTGCATCTACACTATAGAATAAATGCAGGTTTGGCACCACTTGAACTGGTGGCTCCATGTAATGGAATTGTGGGCCTTGTAGGCTTTAGCCTCCTCTGTAGAAGGGTCTTGATGGCTTTAGAAAAGGACAGCTCCTGCGATCATGTCCTGTGTCTGCTGTATTTTAATAGTTGCTCTGTATATTTTACGATGTGTGTTTCATAGGAATATGTTTTACTATATGTATTTTCCTGATTTATGATGATGTGTTTTTAACAATGTTGTGCCGTAAGAAGAGGCCGATAAGAAATAAAAAATATTAATTCAACAACAATATACCGCCAAAGGGGGAGCGATAAAAGGGGAACCCACACAGACCAAATGGGGTAAGATGGAAGCGGCAAATACCCCGCGTACAACCGAAACGCAACAAAAAGAATAAACACCCACCACAAAGCAAAACAAACATATATAATGGGAGTAGGGATATAATATAAGATAAGGGAAAGAGTGACTTGAGATAAGGTGAGAAAGAAAAGGAAAGGGGGGGGAATGAAGATATGGGAGAAAAGGAAAAGAAGGGAAGAGTAGTAAAAGTACTTAAAGAGGATAAGTATATACAAGGAAGAAAAAAACGACCAAATGCAAATTAGAGGGTGGAGGGGTGGTACATGTGACGAGTGATTGGTGGGATGGAGAATCGGCGGCAAGGGGGGGGGAGGGGGGGAGGGAGGGGGGTGAGGGGGTCGGGGAAGAAAGAGAAAGGGCAGGGTTGTTTGCAGAGGATTCATCTGGGGATGACAAAGAGCAAGGAGGTCAGTGCTAGGTAGTAAACAAGTATTTATGGATGGTGATAGGGGCGGTATGGGTTGTTGTGTGGAGAGCAGACGCACACCAAGCAGGGGTATATTGGTGGTGTGAGTAGATGTGTACATGTGGAAAAGACACGACCGCAAGAGACATTGGGTAGGGGTATTGGTTGGGGGAGGGTAATGTATAAATAGTATTAAGATGGGTAGGTGCGTCACGCCCATAGGTGTATTATTGATATTAGTATTATAATGTATTATATATTTAATTATAATGTATTATATATCATATATTTTATGTTATTACAATATTTTATATTATAATAATATAAATATTATATATTCGTTAATAATAATAATAAGAAGATTAAAATAAAGAATAAAAAGTTAATGATAATAATAATTGGGTTAAAATAAATAAAAACATATTTTAATACATTTTTCTTTGTTTTTAATCCTTTTAGTATTATTATTATTATTATATTCTAATGTATTCTAATGAAATTTATAGTATATAATATATTTAATTGTACTGTATTATATAAAATACATTTTGTATTATTACAATGTTTTATGCTATTATTATTTATTATTATTAATTATAATTATTAGATGTACATGTATTATTATTATAATTATGTGTGCATAACAGCACAGCAAACATTAGTTTATTATTATTATTACATTTACATGTATTATTATTATATTTACATGTACACAACAACACAGCACACATTAGGTTATTACCATTAATAATAATAATAATAATAATAATAATAATAATAATAATAATAATAATACTATGTAAAATTATGTTTGTTCCTGGGTTATAAATGCCATTTCCTAATTGCTTCTATCATAAAAACATGGGGAAAGTTTATTAAACTGCCAGAACTTTATTTCTGTGGGGGGGATATCCAGCAGCACATTTTGCTCTAGTTTTTCAGTGAATATCTCCTCCAGCCTCAACATAGTTTGTGCCACGAACTCTGGAGCCGAACTACTACTCCCAAAGTAAGTACCGCACAATGAAACAGGAAACAAGACTTTCAAACCAGGAACAGAATGTTGTGCCAAAGTTTGCTACCTAGTGTAATATGACTATCCCATGGCAGTTCAGGGGGTGCCAAAGGGTACCATTCTCTGCCTTATGACTGCAGTCAGCGGGGGTTTCCTTGGGCCCCTCACACACTCACCCACCCACTCACCCACTCACTCTCTCTCCCTGCCTGACTCACCAGGGTGGTGTAGAGGGCGGAGGGGTCTGCGCCGTAGGGGAGGTAGTTGGCGTAGCCCTGGCTGGCGGCGGCGGCGTAAGGCGAGCCGTACATGCCCAGCGCGGCCGCATTGAGCTCCGGGCGGGAGCTGCCCAGCAGCCGGTTCTCGTAGGAGGGGCAGCAGAGGGTCGCCGCCGCCGCCTGGGAAGAGCCGCCCGACGCCGCATCCGGCCCCGAGCGGGACCCCGAGTCGCAACAAGAGCTGCTGGAGCTGGCCGAGACGAAGAACTGCGGCAGGAGGAGGCCAGAGAGGGGCAGGCAGAGAGGGAGGTTAGATAGATTAGATAGGGAGGGAGGTAAGTATAGGTAGGTAGGTAGATTCGATAGATAGATAGATAGATGGATGGGTGGATGGGTGGATGGATGGATGGATGGATGGATGGATGGATGGATGGGTGGGTGGGTGGGTGGGTGCGTGGGTGGGTGGGTGGGTGGGTGGGTGGGTGGGTGGGTGGGTAAGTAGGTAAGGAAGTAGGTGGATGGATGGATAGATAGATAAATAGATGGGTAGGTAGGTAGGTAGGTAGGTAGGTGGATGGATAGATAGATAGATAGGTAGGTGGATAGATGGATATAGATAGATTGGTAGGTAGGTAAGTAGGTAGGTTGGTAGGTAGGTAGGTAGATAGGATAGGTGGTAAGTAGATAGGTAGGTAGATACATAAGATAGGTAGGTAGGTAGGTAAGTAGATAGGTAGGTAGATAGATCAGATAGAGATAGATTAGATAGGTAGGTAAGTAAGTAGATAGGTCGGTAGATAGATAAATAGGTATATTAGATAGATAGATAGATAGATAGATAGATAGATAGATAGATAGATAGATAGATAGATTAGATAGGTAGGTAAGTAGATAGGTAGGTAGATTAGAGAGAGAGAGAAAGAGAGAGAGAGAGATAGAAATATAGACAGAGGGATTAGATAGACAGATAAGTAGATAGGTAGGTAGATTAGTTGATAGATAGATAGATAGATAGATAGAAAAATATAGATAGATAAATAGATCAATGGAAATATAGATAGATAGATAGATAGATAGATAGATAGATAGATAGATAGACAGATAGATTAGATAGGTAGGTAGGTAGATTAGATAGATATAGATAGATATACAGATAGAATAGATAAAAAAGGTAGGTAGGTAGATAAATAGAAAGAAAAATAGAAATATAGGTAGATAGGTAGGTAGATAGATAGAAAAATAGAAATAGAAATATAGGTAGATAGAAAGATAGATAGATAGATCAGATAGGTTAGATAGAAAGAAAGGTAGGTAGGTAGGTAGGTAGGTAGATAGATTAGATAGATAGGTAGGCAGATGGGTGGATAGATAGATACATAGATAGATAGATAGAAATAGAAATATAGATAGATTAGATAGATAGATAGATAGATAGATAGATAGATAGATAGGCAGGTAGGTAGATTAGATAGATAGATAGATAGATAGATAGATAGATAGTTAGATAGATAGATAGACAGACAAAGATAGGCAGAAAAATAGACAGAGATAGATAAATAGATAGGTAGGTAGGTAGATATGTAGATGGGTAGATAGATAGGTAGATTCGTAGATAGGTAGATACATAGATAGGTAGGTAGGTAGGTAGGTAGGTCGATGATAGATAGAGATGATAGATAGATTGGGAAGAATAAAGAAGACAAGGGAGAGGAGGGGAAAAGAAGGAGAGGTGTGTTAGCATGTTGGTTGCAAGACACCAAGTGGACAAAAAGCAATCATGTAATATTAAAAAAACAAAACCACCAGAATCAAGACAATAAATAAAGAACACCACTCAGAAACGGGGAACTCCAGACAGAAAACAATCAAGTGCCAGTTAACACCTCCCAAACAGAGGCAAGGCTACCTCTATGCAGATACCTTCAGTGATTGACTTTGAAGCTACTAAGTGCTAATCAACCTTGCCAGTTGCAACATTCACCCTTGTTTTGGGTTCTTTCTTCCACCCTGGACATTCCACAGATACATGAACTTGCTTCACCTCCAATAGACCTCTGAAGATGCCAGCCACAGATGCAGGTGAAACATCTGGAGAGAATGCTACTGGAACATGGCCATACAGCCTGAAAAAAAACAGAGCAACCCAACCATGTGGAGAGTTTGGAGGTGCCCAAAGTCACAAGGCCAAGGGCAAAAAAGCGGATGAATGTGGGGGCCCTGGTGTCTAATCCTCACACCCACCTTGACTGACTTCAAGTTGCCTGTATTAATTGTATGTGATCTTCTTAGGCAAGTTAGTTTTGCCAGTTCCTTCCTCTGAAATCCCTACAGCACCAGGGAAATTGGGTTCCTTTGGGTTCTTTTAGGCCAACTTGGGAAGCTTCTAAGTGCAATGGCCAACACACATTTGGGTGCCTCAAATGTTAGCCCTGTTTCCGGATGTACTTGGCCAGATGATTCCAAAAATGGCACCAGTTTCCCCTTTTTAGCTCTAGTTTTTGACATATAGATCATATATCCCATATATATCAGCCTTCATGTGGATTGCTGTGAGTTTTCCAGGATTTATGGTACATTCCAGAAGCATTATCTCCTGACATTTCGCCCACATCTATGGCAGGCATCCTCAGAGGTTGTGAGTTTTGTTGGAAACTAGGCAAGTGAAGTTTATATATCTGTGGAATGGTGTCCAGGGTGGGAAAAGAACTCTTGTCTGTATGAGGCAGGTATGAACATGTGGAAAATTTGAACAGAAAGGAGGAAACCATGAAAATATAACAACAACAATAACAATAATAATAATAACTTTAATAATGGGGACTCAGGGTGATTTACACATACAAAAAGGCAAGGATTTGATGAACAAAATCTGGCTACCAATATTTAAAAACTCTAAAATAAGGACAGTAAATAAAGAACAACACTCAGGAAAAACGGAAATTCCAGACAAGAAACAATCATGGCCAGTTACAACTCCCAACAAAGGATCCCCGCAAGCAGGAAGCAGACAGGCTTTGAAGCAGCAAGGCCATTCAGTTCCAATCAAGGTGGCCAATAGCAGCATTTACACCTGCCTCAAACAGACAAGAGTTTTTGCTCCCACTGTGGATGTTCCACGGATATATAAACCCTACTTGCCTAGTTTCCAATAGTCCTCACAATCTCTGAGGATGCCTGCCCCAGATGTGGGCGAAATGTCAGGAGAGAATGCTTCTGGAACATGGACATACAGCCCTAAAAACTCATAGCAATCCACATTATATATAGTGTACTTTGACATGACATATAACATTTCACATATTAATATTGCAGTTTATTCAGATTATATTAATTTAATTTACTGATTAAGGGATACATTTTTTTTCTGAATGGAGATACAACATGCTGAACTATATTGAACTATAAGGAATTTCTCTACTGCTACTTTGAGGAGTAAACAAAGTGTGAATGCTGCAATTGATCACCTTAATTATCACTGAATAGCCTTGCAGCTTCAAAGCTTGACTGCTTTCTGCCTGGGGAAATCCTTTGTTGGGATGTCATTAGCTGGCCCTGATTGTGTCTTGTCTGGAATTACCCTTTTTTGTTGTTCTTTATTTACTGTCCTGATTTTAGAGTTTTTTAAATACTGGTTGGCAGAATTTGGTCATTTTCATGGTTTCCTCCTTTCTGTTGAAATTGTCCACATGCTTCTTGTGTATTTCAATGGCTTCTCTGTGTAGCCTGACATGGTGGTTGTGTGTTCTCAAATAATATGCTGTGTCCAGGTTAGTAAAGAAAGAACAACACTCAGAAAACAGGGGAATTCCAGACAAGAAACAACCTCTGAGGATGCCTGCTATAGATGTGGGTGAAATGTCAGAAGAGAATGCTTCTGGAACATGGCCAGACAGCCTGGAAAACTCACAGTAACCCAGTGATTCCAGCATACCTATGAAACTAGAACTGATGTGGTCAATCTAATAAAATTTTCTGAATCAGTGTCTCAAATAACCACAAGAACAGGGCTAAAAACCAAGACACTAAGAACAATTTGTTGTTATTGTTGTTGTTGTTGTTGTTGTTGTTGCGTGTTTACCAGGTCTTCCTGTACTATCTCTCATAAAAGTAACCCAGGTCTGAGGATCAAGAAGGGGTCATATGGTCATTCATGCAGCCCCCAGAAAACACAGGACATGCCATTGACCCCTGCACCTGCTTTAGCTGCCAATTGACATCCAGCACTTGACATCCACARGGAAGTAGTAACCAATAGTGAAAGGACCAAGGCAGTGACATCTCCGGCCCACCCCCTGTTTGGGTATCAGCCAGCACACCAACTACGACCCCCCCTCCCCCCGTGGCACAGTGGGTTAAACTGCTGAGCTGCTAAACTTGCTAACTGAAAGGTCGCAGGTTTGAATCTGGGGAGTGGCATGAGCTCCCACTGTTAGCCCCAGCTTCTGCCAACCTAGCAGTTTGAAAACATGCAGATGTGAGTAGATCAATAGGCACCGCACTGGTGGGAAGGTTACGGCGCTCCATGCAGTCATGCTGGCCACATGACCTTGTAGGTGCCTATGGACAACACCAGCTCTTCGGCTTAGAAATGGAGATGAGTACCAACCCCTAGAGTCGGACACGACTGGACTTAATGTCAGGGGAAAACTTAAACCTAAATCAAGAAACTGTTTTCTAAGATCTACAGAGACACTCACTGGAACACCTCAGTAAGCAAGAGTGCGACTAAAATAATCAAGGGTCTGGAGAACAAGCCCTATGAGGAGCGGCTTAAGGAGCTGGGCATGTTTAGCCTGAAGAAGAGAAGGCTGAGAGGAGATATGATAGCCATGTATAAATATGTGAGAGGAAGCCACAGGGAGGAGGGAGCAAGCTTGTTTAGTGCTTCCCTGGAGACTAGGACGCAAAGGAACAATGGCTTCAAACTACAAGAAAGGAGATTCCATCTGAACATGAGGAAGAACTTCCTGACTGTGAGAGCCGTTCAGCAGTGGAACTCTTGCCCCGGAGTGTGGTGGAGGCTCCTTCTTTCGAAGCTTTTAAACAGAGGCTGGATGGCCATCTGTCAGGGGTGATTTGAATGCAATATTCCTGCTTCTTGGCAGAATGGGGTTGGACTGGATGGCCCATGAGGTCTCTTCCAACTCTTTGATTCTATGATTCTATGAGTCCAAAAGTGGCAGGCTCAAACCCAGAACCTCAATCAATGGCTGATACCAAATGAAAGATTCCCTCCTTGGCACACAGAAGACTGGGTGACTTGGATGGCGCTGAACAGACTCCAGGAGATGCAGAGCCAACCTTAAGAAATGGGGCCACAAAGTGGAATCCATGACATGCAAGTGTGGAAAAGAGAAAACCACAGACCACCTGCTGCAATGCAACCTGAGCCCTGCCACATGCACAATGGAGGACCTTTTTGCAGCAATACCAGAGGCACTCCAAGTGGCCAGCTACTGGTCAAAAGACATTTAAGAGAATGCCAAGTTTGCAAACTTGGTGTGTGTGTGTGTTAAATACAATACAACTGGACATGGACATGGAAGAGTCCTTACTATAAGTAATAAGTTGTAGGGAGGAACATGGTTTTCTTCTCCTTAAGATCCAGCTGAGCAAGAATGCTCCTTTATACCAGGGATGGTTCCCAAGCCAAGAAAGTGAGCTAGCCCTTCTAGTGAAAGGGCTGGAAAAGACTTGGCATTCCAGGACTCCAAGGCAATACAGAGGGAGAAATCTCCAATTTTCCCAGGCCTCCCAATCTCTCTTCATCGATCTAGTGGGAAGAATTAAAAAATACCATCTTTCCAAACTTCAAAGAAATCACCCGCCTTCCCCAAGTTGAAAACACCCAGACTGGGTGTCTTTAAGATGAAAGACAGGTTGTGATTCATTTGACTCATTTGCCTTTCCTCACCCAAGATCACTAAAAGATCCTTAAGACAGGAAGACCATAAGAAACCCAAGATGTAGGAACAGGTGTTCAGAGTTGCCTACTCACTAGTAAGCCTACCTTATTTGGGGCAAGTCTCACACTACTTGGGAAGGCGAAATCACAATTGCTGCCTTAATATTTCTCAGTACTTGGTTGTTTAGATTTCTGATGGATAACCCAGAGGTGGCAGGACTCCACTGGTGTTTTGGTTCTCTCATTCTGGTAGATTGTTCTTGGGGGGGGGGGGGAGGAAGGCTCATCTTACCCACAGTATTTGTGAGGGAGGAGGGTCTAGATCTTCCTTGATATGAGTTTCATGCAAGAAAAAAGTGAAGCTATAAAGAAAGCTTTCTCTGCCATCCCTAAAGCCTTTGGGGCCCATGATCAGAGATGGAGAGCGAAAAGGCGATCCAGGAGGGATGGAGGAAGACTTAGCAGCAATAAAGCGCATGCAAACAAGCTAAGGGGACTCTTCCACTTTCATTAATTAAAAAGAAGGAGGAGGAGGAGGAAGAACAAGAGGAGAAAGGGAAGAAGAAGAGAAGGAAGAGGAAGACGAGGAGGAGGAGGAAGAAGAGGAGGAGGAGGAGGAAAAAGAAGAAGAAGGTGAGGAGGAGGAGGAGGACGAGGAGGAAGAAGAGGAGGAAGAGGAGGAGGGGAGAAGGAGGAGGAGGAAAAAGAAGAAGAGGGAGAGGAAGAACAAGATGAGGAGGGGAAGAACAAGAGGAGGAAGACGACGAGGAGGAGGAAAAGAAGGTGAGGAGGAGGAAGAAGAGGAGAAGGAGGAGGAGGAGGAAAAAGAAGAAGAGGGAGAGGAAGAACAAGAGGAGGAAGACGAGGAGAATAATAAAAGGAGGAGGAGGGAGAGGAGGAAGAAGAGGAAGAGGAGGAGGAAAAAGAAGAAGAGGGAGAGGAAGACGAGGAGAAGAAGAAAGTGAGGAGGAGGAGGAAAAGGGAGAAGAAGAGGGAGAGGAAGAAGAGGAGAAGGAGGAGAAGGAGAAGACGAGGAGAAGAGGAGGAGGAGCAGGAAGGAGGAGGAGGAAGAAGAAGAAAAAGAGGAGGATGAGGAGGAGAAGAGGAAGAAGAAGAGAAGGAAGAAGAAGAAGAGAAGGGGAAAGAGAAAGGAGGAGGAAGAAGACGAGGATGAGGAGAAGGAGAAGAAGAGGAGGTAGAAGAGGAAGAGGAGAAGGAAGAAGCAGAGGAATAGGAATAGGAGGAGGAGAAGGAGGAGCAGAAAGAGGGAGAAAAAGACGAGGAAGAGGAGGAGGAGCAGGAAGAGGAAGAATTAGAGGAGGAAGAAGAGGAGGAGGAGGAAACTTTCCCAAGGAAGCAAGTAAAGGCGGAGTGATTTCAGGTGCAGAAAAAAAAATCCAACCAGTAGATAAATTATGGACTAGAGCTACAATACCAAGCCGGTGTCAGATTTGCCGCTGTATGAGACAGTCAGTATCAGATGGCATTTACTGTCTTTTCAGGGAATCCCTGTCACGCCAGAAAACCAATAAATAGGGGGAAGAGGGGCTCAGTTGGGTAAATGATGGAGATCAAAGGGAGAGAAGCCAAAATCAATTTGGGGTGTGTGTGTGTGTGTGTGTAGAATATCAAGTTTCCTCTCCTTTCAAGTCGGGTTTTTACTCCCAAGTAAAGTTGGTCAATGGGATGATCTAATCTTTCCCAATCAAACACCTTAGCGTGGCGTTTGACAGATGAGTCAAAGTTTGGTTTGGAAAGTCCTCCTTCAAGCGGCTTTAGGGGAAAGGGAGAGGAGGATGGAAAGCAATGGACACATCCAAAGAAGCTTCTAATGCCCCTTGCCAAGGAAAGTGAAATATTTCCTTTTGGATGTAGAGAGGCGGGCAACGTCTGGAGCGCGTTCCCAGCCTAGGGAAAGGAATTGGAGGCGGGGGGGGGGGGGGGGGGGGGGGGGGTGGAGAGAAGCAGCAGGTTAACAACTCTTTTGCCTACTTCCCTGACAGAAGTGGGGCTTACTCATGAGTAGACAAGGCGCTCATTGACAACACAGAGCCCGGAAACACGCGCGCAACGCACACCGAAGCTTTCCACAGAACAGAGAAGAAGAGAAAACTATCAGTGTAAAGACCCCTCCTTTTTTAAAAGCGGGGTACCCCACCTGGATATTAACCCAAAACCTTGAAGACTTCATCCCACGCCCGACCCAAAAATAAAAATAATGGATGGAGAGAGTGGCACTTACCTGGGAAGAGGTGCTATACGGGTATCCCAGCTGAGAAAAAGACATCCTGGCTTCCCCACGGTTTGTTTTGGAGAGATTTATTGGGGGAGGGGGCGGGGGGTCGGAAAGGCGAGAGTTTGGACCAAGAGGCGACTTCCCCCGCCTCCCTCTTGCCGCTCTTTCCGCTCCTTTCCCCTCCCCGGATCTTCCTCACAGCCCCATCCCCACGTCTCCTCTCTGCGGTTGATCCAAAGGGTGCTTCTTTGGATGCCTCTCTTTGCCCACCTCTCCAAGACGCGCGTCAGGGATAAACCGTGGCAAGGCGCTCTCGGAGTAGAGGGGGAGGGCGGTAGTCCTGGTCAGAGCCCCCTTGAGCCCCCATGGCGAGGGTTCTGGAGGGGTTTATCGGGTGGGAAAAGAACTCGAGAGAAGAGAGAAGAGGAAGACGCGTGCGTAAAAGGAGGATTTTACGCACGCTTCTTCTTGGCAAACCGGAGGAGTGTTTGTGAAAGGGAGGGGAGGAAGAAGAGTTGGGTGTGGAGGAGGAAGAAACTGGTGATGGAAGGGAGAGGGGTTGGCCAGGGAATGGGTCCAAACTGGGTTGAAATGGTGAGAGAATGAGAGAGAGAGAGAGAGAAAGGAGACGATGGAATCTCCAACCTCCACACCGGCGCGCGTTGCGCTTTTTGGCTGTTTTTTTCCCCTCCTTCTTTCCTTTTTCCCCCTAATGTTATGTTTTTCCTACACTCTCCTCTCTCGGGTCCTTCGGAGCCACGTGATGTCGGGAGTAAATCCCGCGGAAGAGAAGGAGTATCTGTGTAGACAACCACCCGCCTCTTTGCCCACTCAAAGTGATGAAGATGGAGATCTCCAAGATGCGCCTTTGGCCGGATGCGAGAGAGAGTTTTAACCTCCTCACACTAGAGAATGAATCTACTTTAAATTCGGTTGCTGCCTCCTACAGAATTCTGGGGTTTGTAGTATAGGGAGGAGCCTTTAACAGCCTCACTGAACTACAAATCCCAGAATTCTGCAGGAGGCAGAAACCGGATTTAAAGTGGATCCATTCTCAAGACAAGGAGCCGAAACAGGGCTCTTTCACCCCTTGGTCTTTTTGAGGGGCAAAACCAGTCCCACCTCTTTTTTCCTCACCTCCTTTGCCTCTTGTCTCTCTTCTCTGATATTATTTTCTATTTGGGTTGTTGTAGGTTTTTTGGGCTATATGGCCATGTTCTAGAAGCATTCTCTCCTGACGTTTCGCCTGCATCTATGGCAAGCATCCTCAGAGGTTGTGAGTTCTACAAGTATTCTCTCCTGACATTTCGCCTGCATCTATTGCAAGCATCCTCAGAGGTTGTGAGTTCTAGAAGCATTCTATTCTGACATTTCGCCTGAATCTATGGCAAACATCCTCAGAGGTTGTGAGTTCTGGAAGCATTCTCTCCTGACATTTCGCCTGCATCTATGGCAAGCATCCTCAGAGGTTGTGAGTTCTAGAAGCATTCTCTCCTGACATTTCGCCTGCATCTATGGCAAGCACCCTCAGAGATTGTGAGTTCTAGAAGCATTCTCTCCTGACGTTTCACCTGCATCTAGGGCAAGCATCCTTAGAAGTTGTGAGTTCTAGAGGCATTCTATCCTGACGTTTCGCCTGCATCTATGGCAAGCATCCTTAGAGGTTGTGGGTTACAGAAGCATTCTCTCCTGACATTTCGCCTGCATCTATGGCAAGCATCCCTGTGAGGTCCATATAGCCCGAAAAAACTACAACAACCCAGTGATTCCAGCTATGAAAGCCTTCGGCAATATTTTCTACTTGCCCATGTATTGTCCACAAGCATGTGGACAATTTCAACAGAAAGGAGGAAATCGTGAAAATGAACAAAATCTGGGTAATTTTTTTTAAAAAAAACCTCTAAAAGCAAAACAGTAAATAAAGAACAACACTAAAAACAGAGGAAATCCAGACATGAAACAATCAGGGCCAGCTAATCACCCTCCAGGCAGTAAGCAGTCAACCCTTGAAGCTGCAAGGCCATTCAATGCTAATCAAGGTGGTCAATTGCAACATTCACACTTGCCTCGAGCAGACAAGAGTTCTTTCTCCCACCCTGGACATTATTCCACAGATATATACTATACATCAAGGGAACCACTGGCCGCATAGAGAAGCAGATTATGAAACACAATTTACAGACTATCTACAGGATGTCTGGCATAGATGCAGACGAAATGTCAGGAGAGAATGCTTCTGGGACATGGCCACACAGCTCAGAAAACTCACAGCAACCCGGTGATTCCGGAGATGAAATCCTTCGACAATATATACTTCTACTTGTTTTTCTTCTGGAAGGTTTCAAAATCAGCCCATTACCCTTTTTTCCCCTCTTCCCCTAGATATTGCCTAGTTCTTTTTTTCCCTCTGGAGAGTTTCAAAATCCCCCTTTCTTTTTTCCCCCTTAAATATTTTCTAGGGATGTGTTTCACCATTTCCCATAGATATATTCTCCCTCCCTCTCTCTCTGTCCCTCTCCTCCAAACGTTTTCAGAATTCCCCACCACATCTCTCTCTTCTTTTCCATATTGTTTTTCTTTTCTTTTCCAAATATATTCTCTAGCAATCCTTCCTACTATTCCTTGGGATTTCGAGCTGCTTGTTTGTTGGCTTCTCCCTCCCTTCTCAACCCACACACAAACAATGCAAGCCTGGATTTGAGAAAACAAGAGAAGGAGGAGAAGGGTTTGACTCCACTCAATCTGGAGCCATGAAGATGCAAGAAACACAGAGTTGGAAGGGGCACTTAGGCATCATCTAGCCCAACCCACTGACTTTCTGCCTCCTTCATCCTTCTTTCTTTTCCTGAAATGTTTTGAGTTTGAGGAACCAAGATGCAGAGAAAATCGAACTTTGGAAAACAAATAAAGCTCCCCATAAAAGAGTTAAAGCTTTGGCTTGACCAACCTCAGGATTTACCAACCATACAAATCTATTTATTACACTAACCAACACACATTTTGGTGCCACAAATGTTAGCCCTGTTTCTGGGTATATTCCACCTGCTGATTCCACAAATGGCACCAATTTCCCCCTATTATCAGCTCTAGTTTTGGAGATACAGGCTATCTAGCAGTCGCCAATAGAAAACCATAACTATGTGTAAGAAACTAGAGCTGATGCAGTCTATTCAATGCCTTTTTTTCTGGACCAGTGCCCCAATTAACCCCAGGAAATGGCCTAAAAAAAACCAAGACACCAAGAATTGTTTGGTTGTTGTTGTTAATCTATGCTCTCTCTCTCTCTCTCTCTCTCTCTCTCTCTCTCTCTGTCTATTTATTTATCTCTCTCTCTCTCTCTCTCTCTGAAGTTTCAGTGGTGATCCTGCGCCTCTTAGCCTCTTAATCAGGAAACAGCTCCCACTGTAATCAGAAAGTAAAACCAGTGGGGGAAAAGCGCATTGAATCTCAACAACCATCGTTCCCTTTCAGATGCACTGAATAATATATCTCTCGGTTTGAAGTCAGAACAGAACGTCATTTTCTCCTGCAAACATAAAACACATTGAAGCATAGAAATACAGAGTCGGAGGGGACAACAAAGGTTATCCAGTCAGACCCTCTGAGAGGGCGAAAATGCCTTGAGAGCCCATCCCTACCAAGTGGGCACACATCACTAGCCATTTCTGTAAGCCTTTCCATTCATTTCCCTTCCCTCCCTTTCTCCTTGCTTCCCTCCCTCCTTTCCACTCCCCCTCCTTCTTTTCTTCCCTCCCATTCATTTCCCTTCCCTCACTTTCTTCTTGCTTCTCTCCCTCCTTTCCTCTCCTCCTTCTTTTGTTCCCTCCCCCCTTCCTTCCTTCTCTCCCTCCCTCCTTCCCTTTTCTCCTTCCTTCCCTTTCTCCTTCCTTCCTTCCTTCCTTCCTTCCTTCCTTCCTTTCTTCCCTTCCTTCCTTCCTTCCTTCCTTCCTTCTTCTCTCCTTCTTCCTTTCCCTTCCTTCTTCTTCCTTCCTTCCTTCACTCCCTCCCTCCTTCCTTCCTTCCTTCCTTCCTTCCTTCCATCCATCCATCCATCCATCCATCCATCCATTTTCCATCCATCATCCTTCCTTCCTTCCTTCCTTCCTTCCTTCCTCCTTCCTTCCTTCCTTCCTTCCTTCCTTCCTTCCTTCCTTCCTTCCTTCCTTCCTTCCTTCCTTCCCTCCCTCCCTCCCTCCCTCCTTCTTTCTTTCTCTCTTATCTTCCTACTCTACTGCTATCTTCCATCCATCTTTCTTTTCCTTTCCTTCCTTCTATTCTTCTTCCTTCCCTTCCTTCCCTTCCTTCCTTCCTTCCTTCCTTCCTTCCTTCCTTCCTTCCTTCCTTCCTCCCTCCTTCGCTTCCCTTCCCTTCCCTTCCCTTCCCTTCCCTTCCCTTCCCTTCCTCCTCTCCTTCCCTCCTTTTCCTTCTTCTTCCTCCTCCTTTCCTCCTCCTTCCTTTTCCTTCCTTGCTTCCTCCTTCCCCTCCCTCCTTCTTTCCTTCCCCCCCCCCCCCCACACACACAGTATAAAGTCCCAAGGTGCATTCAAACTCTGGAATCTTTCCTTCCTGAATTGGCATCTATCAATATTTCAGGCTGCTGCTTCTTTAACCGCTGCCCCACCGATTGGAGCCTTTGTCTCTTCGCCTTGAGCTCTCGAGTCATGAATAAACCAAAGGAAGCCACCTTGGGCATGGTTGATACCTACTAGCAAGGCTTTGGCTACATCTCCATTGTAAAATGAATGCAGCTTGACACCACTTTCGCTGCCCTTGCCCCATGCTGGATGAGGCAGAGATGGCGAAAGACCTTGTAAAACCACAACTTCCAGGATTCCATAGCATGGACAAAGCTTCTTTGAAAAATATAATAATGACTGTACCTTTTTTCAGCACACACATACTTTCACAGGGAGAAATAACACTTTCAGTGTTAGGCAGTTCTGGGAGTTGTAGTTTGGTGAGGCCTCAGCACACTTTCACAGAGAAGGAGAGAGACCTTGTAAAACTACAACTCCCACGGTTCCATAGCCTTGAGCCATGGGAGTTCAAGTGGTGTGAAATGAAAACATTGAGGCTTGGAAGTGCATCTACACTGTGGAATGAATGCCATTTGACACCACTTTGATTGCCATTGGAGGAAAACAAGCAAGGAAGAGTCTTGTGACAAACTCATTG